CCTTGCTCAAGGGCACCTCAGTCGTGGTATTGAAGGCGGGAGAGAGCGCTGTACATTCCCTCCCACCCCCCTACAATCCCTGCCGGTACGAGACTCGAACCCACAACCTTTGGGTTATGAGTCCGACTCTCTAACCATTAGGTCACGACTTCCCACAAGTGGGGGTGTACTAGAACAGGCTCTCATACTAGGTTGTTCGAAAAACCCATTATTTTTCACATATTTTACATTATTACAACACCTCTCTCCCCAGTCTGGCATGAACGGCTCGAATAGTTCCTGTACCAAATGAAGGCCCGCCTTCTGAAATACGAAATGTGCTGTGATTGGTTAGCTGGGCCAGTGTGTGTGGTGATTGGCAGCACTTGGCACCTAGTCTGGAAATGTCATGCCCCTTACCATAGCCGCCTGCCAGCTTCAGTGTAAATATTACGTCAAAATCAAATCAATTTGAGCGCGATTTAAACCTGGATGATTGTAACCACTCTAAGTTAGTCTGCCTTGGGAAAGCTAGCGTGTCTCCGACATAGTGATAACACTCGTTGCCTTCTCTAGTGCAGCTCAACCATGTCTCGTCCCATTCGCCGATATTTGTGATATCACAAATCCCGGAAAATATGCGTTGTAGTCCAAACGAGTCATTCGTTGTAGTTTTTGAAAAGTGATTTCTGTTAAATAAAATATCTCCTTTTGAAGTGGACTTTGAGCTTTGTAACTTTGCAGATCTTTTTTATGTTCAAACAGCATCATTACAGACTAACTAAAGTTGAAAAAGTGAAAAAGCATAATAGGACCGCTTTAAATAAGGTAAATGTTCTCCAAAACTATTGGCACAATAGTGCACACGCTTAGGTTCAAGTCTTGACTGCGACAAGACTTTCTTTTCAATAATCTACTAAATAATTTACCCCAAATAACAATATGACGAAGCTAAATGTTTGTTCCATTTATAAAATGGACATTTAAAATCATATCCATTTCAGTGCTTGCTCACAACTGCACTGTGCCTTTCTCATGTGTCCTTTAAGCACATGGCACAGCGTCCATGTGCCCAGTGCCCGTCAATACATGGAATTAGTTCTATTATTACAATACAGCTTCCTCTATTCAAGCCCACACTGAGCAAATGACGTCTGAGACACAAGCGCACAGAAAGGAATAGACAAAACTGAACACGCTAGTCTAGAGTTCAGTTTCAGACCTAAACGAACAGCTAAGCAGAAAGCGACACCGACTCAAGCAGCTATAAACGTCTCAGGAGCTTCTGTGCCTGTGATGCCAAACAACATGTTCAAAGGTCAGGTAGATAATAGGAAGTAGGTTAGGAAAATGTGTAGAGTGATATATTTTTTTAGAGGATGCTTTTAAAACAGCTGAACTTACTTATAAAAAAACAAGTGTGTCATGTATTTTCCAGATTTATAGACTTCAAGTCATTTAAGACATACTGAAATATTGAAATATTTAGTATACAATTTAGATTTTCTCAAGTTAATATTCATGGAAAACACACACAAAATTATCAATTTTTTGCTCGCCTAATCAGTTTTACAGTGATTTTAAACCAGAGCACCATAACACTGGTCTGAGATCAGTATGAACCTGTGATACTCACTGGAAGGCATGGTGTATGTGTCCTCTTCGTCAATGATCTCAGCGTAGTCGTCCGTTTCTGCAAAAGGGAAAACAGTATTTTAAGTCCAAACATACCAGGACCAGCTAAAAACAGCCCTTCCAAAACCAGAAACACATCTTCTCATCTCCAGCACGACTCACACACTCCTTGGCAATTACACACGTCGTCTCTTCCCCATTAACGCCACAGTACTAAGTTTAAAAGTGTTTCGGTGTCTATGTATTCTGCAGGAGTTTGAGCTGGCTTCGATCACATCCTCACAGCTGTGATATCTGAGTGTGTTTAAAGAGCGATACATCTGGCTGAGAGGGGGAACTGTCTTTCCAAAGCATTGGTGTCACTGGGAAAAACAGATGAAGTCATGGGTAATTTGACAACTATTGTGTCTGTCCTGTCTGGTTTTAAGGAATACGTTTTGTTAAATGTTCTCTACGCAGCAATGCGGCAAAAGTCAACCGATTTTGACAGCTGATATTGACCGTCAGTGAAGTCCCATGAGTGGAGAGCTGTGAGCAAACATTTTCCCCTTACTGTGAGAGAAAGGGATGTGTGTTTTCAGCAGATAAAGTCTCCAACGTGGCACCGCTGACTAGTTTCACCAGATCAAAACATCAAATTCCATTGTAAGCTACTGCTGCGAGAGATCACAAATACACACCTAGGTATTTTGTTTTTCTTGAGTTCACAGGACTGAAACATGGGAACTGAATGCACTATCAAAAAGAAAAACACTGAAGCAAGCAACTGTTCAGGTTTCAGAAAATAGTTATTCTAGAGGGAGCAACTGCAGCTCACTTTGATTTATACTTAATATTCTTTTTGCACTCATTTCTGGCAAATAAATCTTGTGTTGAGTTAGTATTCAACTGCATGAAGTTCGGTTAAAACAAAAAATACATCTTATTAAAGGGCAAACTACAGGACTACCAACAAATTTGGAATCGGTTTATACAGTTTCTGGAAAATAACCAAATATTGGAATAATATGTGGATATGTCTGTCCTAGCCTTTGTATAATAACTTCTTTACCTGTGTAATTGAATTTTTAGATGCTTCGGGGGGTGGGGGTCGAGGGATAGGAGAGTTAAAATAGATGTATAACATGTATTTTCTCTGGATATTTTCATGTTATTGTCTATGTCCTTTTTTCAATATAAATATGTTAAAAATACATCTTATATAATATCTAACTATAAATAAATAACTATATATATATATATATATTAGTGGTGTCAAAATGTGCACGTTAACGCAGGCGATGAATTTTTTCAGTTTAACGCGTAAAAAATATTTAACGCAATTAACGCAGGGGCATCTGTCACTTTTTCTCTTGACAAGAAGTGCATTTATTCAGTCGCAGAATGACTGAGAATGGGAGACGTTTCAGACACGCGCTCCACTTCAGCACCAGGCGCGAGTCAAAACGGAAACAGTATTGTGCTCGCAGCGTGTGCTCTTCATCAAAAGCACGAAATAAACTACGTGCATGCAATGTTGTGGTCAGTTAAGTCATGAAGTTACTAAAAAGGGTGATTAAAGCTGCCTTAAAACTGTGCATGCATGTAATATATTTTATATGAGTCACATGTAAGAACATGTCTCTGAAATGGTTTTCAAAACTGTCCTGGAGCAGCCAAGCACTGTCTCACTCATCTAACACACCCGATTTAACTTATCAGCTCATTAATAGAGACTTTAAGACCTGAAGTGGGTCAGAAAAGGTAAAAAGAGTTGAGAGAAAATATGATGCGTGTCAGATCCGCGTCACATTCAGCAGCGGCAGCTCTTAAAGAAATAACAGCCAAAATAACCTAATAACCAGCTGCTGTGATGTCTATTAATCAAAGGACAAAGGGGAAAAAAAGAAGAAAAAAGAACTTTTATAGCTTTAGGGATTCATCTATATTTAATTTATGCATTAAATTAAATATGCATTTATTATAATGGGTTTATGAGAAGATTGTTTTAAGTTCACTTAAATTAGAAGTTATTTTTTAAAGTCTAATAAATGTTCAAATTGATAGCTCTCAATTATACTGTAATGTTGAATGGCTAGTCAATGGTTAAATATGGGGGGGGGGGCAGTTTTATAGAGACATCAGTATTGGTATCATTGATACTGGCCTTCAGTCATAAAAAAAGATGCCATTAAACAAATATAAAAAATATATACTGCCTTTATGTTGTTTGTAGGCCTACATTAATTTGAAGACTGAATGTGAAATTATTGCAATATAAAAGTATATTTAAAATTTTTTATGTTAGGTAGGATTAATCACGATTAATTTCAGAAAAATGTGCGATTAATTAGTTTTTTTTAATTGACAGCACTAA